CTATTTTCACTGCTTCTCTCTCCAAGACCCACACTTTCTAACAAATTCACACACTTGCTCTCCTGCTGGATCAAGAGCAGGCAGCGAAGGCACTGGGTAGTTCATGTGCCTCTAAGGATGTAGATACATTTCTTCCTCTGGCAGCAAAGGTGATTTAGGAGTTTCTTGCCAAATGGCTCTGCTTCTTATTGCTGCCCAGATGCCACCACTCGCAGGGCAATTGTGCTGAGGCAGCTGTTTGTTGAGCTGTGCTGGAATCAAATCATTCAAATGGTCCAGGTTTAAAAATATCTTCCTTCACCTCAAAAAAACCAACAAAAAATGTTGATGTCATTCCAGTGACATTCCCATTCTTAGCACATCCCTGCAAAGAGCTGCAGCAGTGCAAATGGGCACTGAACCGTGGAACCAAAGCAGGAAGAGGTGGATGGGGACTCAAGGTGTGGAACCTGCTTTGGTTAGCATTGTTCAGAAAACATTCGTATAGGTTGTAACCAACCATCTCTCCATCTACATTAAAGTAGATTATGAAGACCCTTCACCTTTCCTCCCCACTTCCTAAATTTAAAAGTTATTTATCTTGTAAAAATAACAGTGCAATCAAAGTTCTCAATTCCTATCGAGCAGTTTTCTGATATCCTGAAATACTTGGCTGGAATCTCTCTTGTGTAATTACTTAAAAGACAGACCTAGTCTAACTCAGTCACGCAGAGTGTCTCTAAAGGCAGTAGAAAGAAACTGGTACCTCCAGAGGGCAATCCACTTCTTTGAGGATGGGACAAATCACACTCTGGTTGTGCCTTTCTCTCATCACTCCCATTGAAGGGGATGAATCCAGTTTGCTTGAATGGATATTTCGTTTCTGGATGACTCAAGTCTGGCAATATGGATCCCAGTCTTTGTACCTAAAGGCTATGGAGATTCATGGTGGTAAAGCAGAAAACAATGTGTTGATTTCAATATCCAGAAGGCCTAGACTTCATATTTTTCCCCATCATAAATAGGATAACTGCTGGGACCTAATAAATGAAGATGTTATGACGAAGCCATTCCGTTCACCCCTTTCCTCCTCTCCACACCCTTTTACAAGAACCTTATACAGATTTAAGTAGAGCCCTGTTTAAGAAAGCAAATATTGAAAGATGCTGAATACCTGAACTTTGAAAGTACCCATCCGGCTCAACTCTGAGATCCTTATACTGTTTGTTCATGCAAATTCTGGTGTGCCAGATGCTGAGGAGTGCTGTATGGCTGCTCAGTGGGAGTTGTGGTTGCTCAGCACCTCCAAAGAACTGGCATGTAAACTCCAGCCTGGACTTTGCTTTTATGGGAAAAACAAAACCAACCATCAGTCATGCATGGTGTACTTCCCTCCCCACTTCATGAGTTGGCCTGGTGAAAATTCCTGGTGCTTATTGAAAGCATCATCTGATGTCACTCGACACCACAGGGGAAAATATAAATCAAAGTGTAAGTATTCAGCACTCTCTCAGCATTGGCCTAATGTGATTAATGTAATCTGAGGTAAACACTTTAGTGACTCCTTATTACTGTTAGGGACCCAAATCAAGGGTTGGGACTTGTTATTCTAGGTAATGTGAAAAACAAGCCCTACCCATGAGATCTCCAAGGCTAAGATAAAGCTCAGGTAGAATCTTGACAACAGTTACCTAATAGCAATGGACAGACATGATGAAGTGTTGAATCTGAACTGTCTTAAAGGCATGTGGCAAGGGCTCTGCCATGCTCAGCACAAAGTTTACATCTCTCAGTGGAGTAGGGTTGTGGTTACAGGGAGAATAAGGTAGTCCAGGATGAGATTCCAAGGAATTACAGAGCAGTCAGATGACTGAATCCCAGTGACACTGAGTAGACCTGCTTTTGCATTCTGACTTTCAGAATCACATCCTGGTTCCAAAAAAGTTGTATTCTGTAAAATCTACAGTTGAAACCCTTGTCTCAGGCAATCCTCAGCACACTTTATAACTCTGAATTGTGAGGGCTGCTGGTGGAAGAGGGAAACAGACTTAATAGCGTGGATAGAGTTGCTTTTGGCACCTTTTGATGATTTTTTGTCTTACATGAGGAGAGTGTACCTCAGTCACTGGACGACTCAGAGTAGAAACTCCAAAGTATCACAGGTGTGAAAACTCAGGTCTAAAAGCCAAGCAATGTCTATATTGTCAGTTTTGTGCTTGCTTCATTCCTGGCTGGATGTGATGGAAAATGATAGCTCTTGGAAAGGCACATCGAGACCAGCAGCCTGCTGAGTCCAGAGAGCTGCAGGGAGCAAATGCTTCATCCAACCAAACCCAGTGGGAATCTGTTGGAGCTCCAATATTGTTTTGCTGACACAGGAAGATGTCATCATAGCAAAATATGCAGGAGTTAACACATTATGAAATACAGTTTTGGCAGTGATGCAGACAAAGATTGTTTTGTTTGAAATGCAGTACCACCAGTGTTGGTTCACAAGGTAATGCAGTCACCTTGCCAGCCTAAGTCATTACACTGAGCCTTTTTTTTCTAACATGTTAAGTCCAAATCCTATGAAACAAGCTGCATAATTTTAAGCCCGTAGATAGTACTTTGCTTCAAAGTTAATCTTGATTTAATGTAAATTTTGTATAGCAGCTGGTTAGAATAGCCAGTGGAAGTGCTAAAGGAAGCCTATATTGCACAGAAAGAGAATTTTTTATTCCTTCTTTTTTTTTTTTTTTTCCACTTAAACCCAGTGTGGGTTTAAGTAAAAAAAAAAGAAGGAATAAAAATGCAGAAATTTTGTTTTAAACTTCTTGCCAGTCCTATTCATTTACAGGGTGAGAAGTGAGGAAGGTTGTCCAATGCCTGCTTACACACACTGCTGAGGGCTCAGTGCACAAAATTGCACAACCAGTTTCAAAATTACTCTTGGCTGGTGCAGGCACTCTTGCTGCCCTTCCAAAAATAAAGGCAAAATTTTCAGTATCACAGAAGACTAATAAACCACCTACGCTCCTACATCTACCAAGATCAAGATAGCCCCGAATCCCATACAACTCAGAAAGTCTAGCCATGTATTTACTGCTGAAACCTGACTTTTATAATCAGGATGAAAGATTTGCAATCTGCACTTCACAGGGCTGAGAGGCAGATCTTCTATATTCAGGACTCAATTATCTACCTGCCTTTCAGCTGAAGATCTGGTCCCCTGGGCCAAATTCTTTACCATACTTTTGCACAAGTCTGGGAAACAACCCTTCTCATTGGCATTGCTGAAAATGGACTTTCACACTCAAGTAGGCAGCTATTTCTCCCACATTTTTCACCATGCTTGCGTTCTCATTAAAGTACAACATAAAGTTAGCAAGCAAAAGCTGTATTCTTCTGCAAGATCCTTGCCCAAAAATGTCCTTTGAGTCCTGTATGTTGTAGTGAGTAGCAATGAGTGCCTTGCTTTGAAAATATGATCCTAAGTCAAAGATTAGTAGCCCACATGTCAAATATTAAAGCAGTTTCTCAGACAGTATTTCATAAATAGGGCTATTCCAGTTTAGAGCAACCAAGGATCTGGGTCTAAAAATGGCACAGTGGACTCTAATTAGATCTGAATAACGAAATAGGGAGCTACTTTTTTCATACCTTCATACTATCTTGTTTGTTGGTGACATGACAGTTAAATAGGTAAGGGATGGACTTGATCTCGGAGGTCCTTTCCAACCCGGCTGATTCTATGATTCTGTGACCAGACAGAAGCCCAATAGTCAATTTATACTTAACATACCATTAGTTCTTACTAATTCTTGTGTCACACTTTAACAGTAAGTACTTATAAAAATGCTTAGGAAAAAATAATCCATCCCATGCTTCAGTTCCTCACAAGCATCTCTGCTTCAATGTTTTTTGCTGGACATGTCTGTTAGCATCACTATTTTGGTAACTTTCTGTTTCAGGACAATTTTAGGACATGTTAAAATTCAGAGGATACTACTTTGTCATTTTCCCTCTGTTGAGTAGTATGTTGATATCAAATAGTTCACCTGAGATCACGCTGAAGTTCCCAAAGTAAGGTGAAGCTCTACACAAAGAAGTCTGGCAGTATAGCTGTTTTAATTTTGAGAACGTACAATAACTCAAGTGCATATCTAGGAATATAAGGGGAAAAATCCTGTATATTGCAAGTTAGACTGTGGTTTTAATGATGAAGACATGAGGCATTCCTTAGCTAACAAATCACCAATTTTTATGTATTTTATTTTTAATAGGATTTCTGATACTATCACAAAGCAGTCTTCATTCTCTGCCAAAGGGATCTGAAAACACTGGAACTAGTAAAATATTTCCACCTCTTACACTGGTCTGTTAAATATTCAGCTAATTTTAGAAATTCCTTTAATTAGCAACTACAGTATATCATGTCCAGATTCCTTTTTCTACTATAAGTGTAGGATAACTATGCAAACAAAACCAGGATATAAACGGAAGCTTATATCTCTGTATTTTTTATTTCCTTTCCTTGTTCTGAGTGAAACTGAAATGAAATAAATATTAAAATTCTTTAAAGGGGAAAAAAAACAAACCAGAAAATACATCCAAGGCAGATTTCATAACAGCAGAACAAGAATCATTTTGAGTGGCAATGCACTGGCAATAACTTTTGGCTTTGGTTCACATCAATCTGGAGGCCCAGCTACACAAGCCAAGCTGGCTCAGAATCTCTTCTGAACAGGCATTTATCACCTTCAGAGCAATAATATTCCAGAGGTCCTAATCAGGACAGCCCTTTGCACCAATGCAACATACTCACCTGGCACAATCCTTCCTCTGCCAATGGTCATGGCAAAAGTCCCTCTGACTTCTCTGGTGTTAGAAGTCTGGCTGGCCTCCCCAAATTTCCATGCTCCCTGCCTTTTCCCCTCTTTCCCACTTCATTCTGTTTTCCTGCATGTTGTGAAGTCTTAAGGGTTTTAATGCAATTCGTATTTTCCTCTTCCCTTTGTCAACCTTTCCTTCCTTTGCAGACTGGTTCTGAACCATACCCTCAAGGACGAGTGGAGGAAGCTCCTGCGAGCAGTGAGAGGGGTGATGAGCCGGCTCGTCATATCTTCTCCTTCTCCTGGTTGAACTCACTGAATGAATGATGACTCACTCTGCTAGCTTCTGATGTGCTTCTCCTCGGAGGGACCGTGAGCACAGGCAGCCTGGCTGCAGTCAGCAGAGAAACTGGCCTGGAAAGGGACATCCGAGCAGGTTTCATTCCCAGGAACTCAGTTGGCCTCCGCATCATTTCCTTGAGATGACAGACTGAGAGGGATGGGAGCATGGGGACAAATTACTATCCTGTATTGTAGTTAAAGTGTTTTCTAATAATTTTTTTACTTGCAAGGGGAAAGTAGCATCACTACAGCTTTAGGCTGAGCACTGCTAGTGTTTTGTTACTCACTTTTGGCACATCCCCTCATAGGTGTAAGCCTTTCACCAATGTTGTTAGCTAAAATGCTGGTATGATACTCACTAGTAGCATCCTTTGCCAAAACAGTGTTTCTTCTCAGTATCCTCCTGCATCCCCACTTGTTGGTGCTGGTGACTTCAGTGACTTCAGACATCCTTGGCAGCCCCAAATCAGTGTTGTGTCTGACAGTACTGGTGCCTCCACAGCTGCGGAACACAGTAGGAAAGAAGGAAGCTGCCATTTCTGCCTTTGTGCTTGCTCTTCCTGCTAAGCCACAACAGATGATGCTCATACAAACACTTTATTTGTCAGGAAGATTCCCAGTGGCAGGAATGAGGAAGATGCATACACCAAAAGCACTGGCCAAGACCCCACGTGTGGATGCAGGACACAGCTCTGAGTATGTGGGGCAAATGCTGTAGTGCTGCCCAGCCTGTCCAGCCATAATCTGTGTCTATGTCTTCTCAGTCATCAGTGAGTGTAGAACAGGGGGCATGTTATTACATGAAGCCAGGATGCAGTGAGGTGGTCACATGTATTCAGTCAAGGTTTAATTTGAAGTCCCAGTGGTGCGCTGTAGAAAAGGCAGATGCTGACTGTCCTGTTCCATGTGCATTGCAGATATTTATCTTTCTAATGAAATCAAATTTGTGTCTTAAAAGAAGTTCTACAAGCTGTATTTAAGGTGACATTCTGCAATTTTTTGTCACTAGGAGCAAGGTGTCAACACTCAGTAGTGTTTATGAGAGACTGGAAGGCTGCTGGGAGTGCTTGGTGCCACAGGGGACCAGATGTCAAGCTCTGCACTAGGGTTACTTGTGGATCTTTCCCAGATTCCTGAGCCAGGCCCTCGATGCAGTTTTGGCAGGGGACTGTGTGGGGCCGTAGGGCTGCGCTGTGTCCCAGCTGGACTGGTGAGCTGGCAGTGCAGACCAGTTAGCAGTGTGGGTGTCCACCTTATCCTGGACATCCGCTGCTATCGGCCTGAGTGACATCAACCCTCGTTTGTCTCTGTTTTCCCTGGAGCACGCTCCTGCGAGAGTTTGTCGGGCTGCACAGGCGAGCTCCACGTAAAGATTTGGAACTCTCACAGCCTAGAGAGAGCGCCGCCCAGCACCACCACCGCATCGCCTCCGGCTGCTGGAGCAGCTTTTCTCTGGGATTTGGTTCGGTGTGAGGGATTTCCTATATTCTCCCAGTCGTCCTGGAGATTTCCCCTTGCTCTTCCCGCAAAGTTCCTCCACATATACTCAGAGCCCCTGGGAAGGAGCCCGCTTGGGCACCGCCGCCGGGACAGGGGAAGCCGAAGCGGGAGGAACGTGCCATTTTGGGGAGGATGCACAGAGCCAGAATGAAAACGCAAAAGAGATGTGGGAGCGCCTCACCGTTTTCCCATCGCTGCGCTCTGGCGGGAGGAGGCTACCCGGCCCCGACCACAGCGGCAGGAGCCAGGGACTCCCCTCAGGGGGCTGCTGAGTGGGATTCGGCAGTGCCTGGAGGCACCGATTTGCCCTCGACATCCCGTTCCCGGAAGCAGCCTTAGCCGAGGTCGGCGGCGTGAGGCAGCCCCCATCGGGGCGCACCTCTGGGAGAGCCCGCGGGGATGGGGACTTCCCGGGGCAGGGAGGGGAAAAGTATCCCCGAGGGCGATATAGGGCTCCCCGGGTGCCCGCGGACGCGGGTGCCCTCACCCACCCAACCCCCCATCCCATCCCGGTAAGCGCTGAGGGAGGCGGAGCAGCCCTCAGGCGTCTAGGCAAGAAAGTCTATCAAGTCATCTTTACTTTGCAGCTTTTATTAAAAATATAAATATTAAACATTCTCTTACACAACCAAATCGACCGAGCGCTGAAAAGATGTTTTATTGTGAAAATGTTTACAGGAAAAAAAGTGAATCGAAAGTAGCTTACAGAGATTCCCCCTCCCACCTCCCTGCCCCTAGCAGAAAAGTTTTCTGTCTTCTTGGCACCATTTCTTCCAATGCTCACATATCCCTACGTAGCGATGGCACTAGAATAACTGGGAAATGGAGAAATAAATAAAGGTAGGGGAGGTTACGAACGACACTCGAGTTTCTGCACTTGGTACACGGTTGTGCATGCTAGTCAAGGGACAGAGGCTGTTCGGAGTACACCCTTCTAGGTTTAAAGCTATATAAAAATAAAGAGATGACATCAGAGCAGCACTATGGTACATCGGACGGTGTAATTATTCTTGTGCTAACTGCGGAATCTCTTTGGCAAGGTGGGGCGGGGCCGTTTCACTTCCCGATTATCTCCATCAGTTTCCTGTTGCTGTGAGCTTGCTGCGCTAACTGCTCGGCTCGGGCCATCTCCAAGACTTCTCGCAGGAGGTGGAAAGTCAGATCCAGAGAAATAGGGGGCTCCTCGGATCGCTTTTCCCTCTCCACAGCCTCACCCTCGGCTTCGCCGTTCTCGGGGCTCCCTGGCGAGCGCTTGGGCAGCTGCTGCAGCTGTTGCACCGCCGCCCGGAAAAAGTTGCTGGCGGAGGCTTCGGGCTGTAGGTGGCTGGTGCTGCTGGAGGAGGCGGAGAAAGAGCCAAGGGGTCTCTTGTGGAGGTTGCCCAGGCGCAGGAAATACTCTTCTCCCATGCGAAGCAGGACGGGCAGAGTTTGCTGCTGCTGCTGCCGCTGTTGCTGGAAGAAATCTGGCTGGTGCAGAGCCCCGGGGGCGGCTGCCGGACTCTTGTTGAGAGCTCTGCACTCCTGGCAGGGCAGGAGGGCGACCAGCAGGATTCCCGTGGAGACCAGCAGCGGGATCTTCATGGTCGGGGCCCAAATCTGCGGAGGCAGACGAGGAACGGGATTTGGGTTACACAGCCGAGCCGCGGCGGCGGGGAGGGCAGCGCGGCGACGGGGCGTCCCCGCCGCCGCTGTCCCGGTGCTGAAACGCGGCGCTCCGCGCCCCTCCGCGCCCCTCACGCTGCGCCCCGCGCCCCGCACACTGCACACCGCACATCGCTGCCCGACCGAGCTCACCTCGGCCCGTCCACCAGAGCCGTCGAGGCGGCAGGTCCACGCGGAACAGCCCCGCGGGGCAGCTCCGGGCAGCTCCCGGGCACCAGACTGGGCTGAACCCCTGTGCAGATTCTCCGCGTGTGCACGGACCCGCACCCCTTCACCCACCCGGGGTGAGGGGGAGCGTGGAGCGCCTGCGGAGGGGCAGCTCTCCCCAAGAGCTGCGGGGTGCGAGCGTCCGCTCCCCCGCGTCTCCCCGCACCCTGCCCGGTGGGGCAGCCCGCCGCGTTCCGCGGGACTCCGCGCTCAGCCCCGCTCCGCGCCGGGCGCGGCCCCGCACCTACCTGGGGCGGCGGTGGCGGTGGCAGGGCAGGGCGGGCGGTGGCGGGACTCTGCAGTGCCCGGAGTCCTTTCCTCTCACTCTCCCTCGGAGTCGGCTCCTGGCGAACTTGGGATCAGATTTGGTCCTAATCAGAGCCGGGGCGCGGGATTTTTATAGCTTAGACCCTCTCCTGGAATCACGCAGAACTTGCCTAATAAGCTGACGCTCTCCTGACAGCCCGATTGCGTGCCCCGATCTACTGCTGAATAAATCATGGGGGCCCGTCGGAGCGGCGATGGGCAGAGTTTCGCTATCGCAACCCCAAATCTCACGTCCAATTATATCAACAGATATTTATCGCCTCTGCAGTGACGTCAGCGGGGCCGGGGGCCGGGGAGCAGGATGCCCCCCCCACCCCATTGACAAAAATACTTGAATGAGATTTCCTAGCGAGCGCGTACTATGAGAGGTCACTCCGGGGAAACTTTCCACTCACGGGCTGGCCCACGGGGAGGTGCCCGACCCAAGCCGGGCCGGGGTTGCTATCCCGGGCCGACTCCTTCCCCTATTCCCGGTCCTGCCCGGCCCCCGCCTCCTCCGAGCCCGCCCGCACGGGGCGGCTGTGGCGGGTCAGCAAAGGAGGTTCCGAGGGGCGCGCATTTTGCGGGGATTCCACTTTGCTCCTCGCCCCGGGCAGGCCGAGGCAGCGCTTGCCCTGCAAAGCGGGCAGGGGCTCAGTCGAGCCCGCGGGGAAGAGGCAGAACACATGCCGGTGCCGGGAGAGACTCACGGCATCGCTGGCATCGGGGCTACCCAGGGACCCGCCACGGGTAGAAGGGGCGGAAAGCCCCCCGGGGTGGCGGGGAGGGCCGGGGCCGTCGCCGCCGAGGCCGCTGGGAGCATCTGGCGGGGTAGGGAGCGCAGCCCGGGCAGCGCTCCCCTCGCTCCTCCTCCCCTGCCACCGCCCGCACCGCCGCCTGCTCGTCCCGTCCCTGGCTCCGCGCTGCCGGATCGCGCTCCCCCGCTCTGGTCCGTGCTCCTCTCCATTGTCTTCCTCCTTCTTGCGTGGAGGTAACAATCGCTCTTTTCCCCCCTTCTCGACTCCACCAGCTTATCTTCCCCACCTCTTCAACCCCATGGCCATATACCTCCCTGTTTGCCCTCCTCAGCTAAGACACCCTCTCTCCGGGGTGTCCTAATCCCACGTGGAGCTCTCTTTGAAGTGCTCTCCCATGTCTATTAGGCTCCAGACCATATTACACCAATCTCTCCGGCTGGCTTTCAAGCCCTCTGATCTCTTCAGGAAGTAGTGCTGCCTATAGAAATGACTTCTGCCCAACACCTCTCTGTGTGTTCTTCCATTTTTGCATCCCATCATCTTTGCCAGTGCATCTCAGCCGTGCTTCTCCACTGCCTCAGTTGCAACATCAATCATGTCCCCCCCTTTAAACTGGAAAATTTTACAGAAAACCTACTGGTTTTTTCTAGCCTAGACTGTAAATGCCTGGGTCACGCACTTGCTCGTCTCCCATCATAGTGAGGAGCTGCAACAGAACAGGTGGTCGTACGCTATCAATGCTAAATAAGTGATAAATCTGCAATCCATTTCCTTAATAAAATAACAAAGTTCAAACAACTTAATGCATGAGGTTGGCCGCAGCCCAAATCTGAGCATCTCCTTAGGGATGTGATGCACTTCAATTTCAGTTATACCTACCTCCACCCTCGGACGCTTTTGGTGAAGTGCCAAAGAATCAGATCTTGTGCATCATGAAGAAATAAATG